ATAAATTTATTAATAAAAAAGGTTAACTGGGTTCACAATTTTAAGGCTCTTATCTATCAGTAGTCCCTATAGCCTTGTGGCCTTTAATGGGCAGTATATCATGGTGGGAGCATAAGGGCAGAACATATCCGAACTACTCTGAAAAGAAAAATAGCCAGGAGGGGGAGTGAGCCCAGCATCCCCCTCAGGGTATGCCTGGGTGACTTACAACTTTGTACTAAATCCCATCTCTTAAACGTTCTACTATTGAAACAGGATTATTATGTTGGGAGACTTTGGATCGAAGATAAGATAGAAAAACAGGAAGTTCATATCAGAACCATAAAAGTCAAAGTAAAGTCGGCCCATGTGGTACGCCTGTACAGAGCCACCAGAACAAAGAAGAGTTGAAAAATGATCTGCTGGATGCATATCCGAGTCATCTGCTTCCACCTGGATCTGTCGGAAAAGGCTGCACAGAACTGTAGTGTCGTGTTTGACAGCCAAAGTTTGATTCTGTCCTGTGAGAGCTCAGACGTCGCACAGTTTTGCCTGTCTTTGAGTCATGTGTTAGCGGCTAGATATTTGTACATTCCCACAATTGTCCAGATATCAAGACACAGGCAAATAGCTGGGAGATTATTATTAGGGCCAGGACAGCCTTTTCAACTCAAAGCAAACAAAAGCCAGAAACTTCTTCATAGAAAATTTCAACTGTTCCCTAGAGCTCTGAACAGCAGAAGGCACACTGTCCAAAAAAAATGTGTTCTGCTTCCTTCATGAAGCCCTTTGCAATATGAATGTTTAAAAAATAATTCACATGAGACATGGGGCAGTCCGAAGAATTTTTAAAGGAGGAGCGTGTCTGGAAAAGAATAAGAAGATGTCTTGCCACTAAGCCAGTGGGAATTTGAAATTACTCCAAGCCAGCCAGCCAGTAGAGTAGCTAAACATAAGGTAGAATTCAGAGGAAGCTGATCATGTTTTGATTTAATTTAATGCCTTTCTCCATGCTTGTTTCTGAGCTCTAATTGATGCCTATGTGAGAAAATGTTAACACAGGGCAGTATTATAAAAGAAACGTATTGAAGCCTCTGAGGTGCATAGATCTTCCCCTGCATGGACCTTGCCCTCTGCCCGTGACACTGGTCATAAGACACTAGTGCTTAAGAATCCAAGTTATTCCCATTTTCTAAGCCATTGAATGTTATTAGGAAGCTATGTAACAACAACAACAACAAAGTCTTGTTGGGCTCAATTAAAGAAGTATCTTCATGGTTACCAATGCTATACTTGAAGTGATAGATATACATACACAAAGTCCAGTGAGATTTTTACCATGGCTCTGGCTGTAGAAAAACCAGTGTGAGGGGCATGGTTGAGCGCTAACATCAAGCTAAGATGTAGCTCAAGTAGCAAATCAGAAAGCATTGATTTGAAGCCTCTTGAACAGTGTCTTTTACACTGGAGTTTCTTGAAAGTGAGTATCCAAGGTCAAGGTCAAGTGTACAGTTCAATATTGGCACTCAGACTCTTCCATTCTACCACGCTGGTCCTACCATAAATTATAACCAGTTGACAATGACTATTTTATGCAATCATGATTAAAAATCCCAAATGACAAATGTAAAAGGCTATTCACATGCTTCCCACCAACATTACACAAATTAAAAACCTATATTCTTCAACTTGCATCATTCATTCATTCAGAATATACTGAGCTTTAATTATGAGCCTGGCACAATGCCAGGAGCTGGGAACGCAAGTGAAATCAGCCAGACTCCCAGCCTCCAAGGAGCTTCCAGCCCTGAGGAAGAGACCCAGCGAGAACTAACCAAAACAGTGTGCCTAATCTGTTCTGGGGGAGGCACAAGCTCCGAAGAGGAAGCCAAAGGTACCAACATTTTTTGGCACCTGTACAAGATTAGCAATGTATTCTGGCGGGGTTGTTTTGGGCAATGTTCCTCCTCTAGTAACCTCCTCTTAGGCTTCCAAAACTATGTTTGATGTATTTTTCTCTCTGCCTTAATCTCACATATCAATATCGAGGACACAAGGAACTCAATTGATCCTATCTAAATTTGATGAAAATAGAAACTTCAAATTCTAGGCTACCATTTTAATTATCTCCCCCCACCACCACCACCACCACGAAGTGACAGGGAGAAGGCACTTCATGATTCAGAACTGTGTAGAAATTTGCATTTTCTTTACACAAAATTCAGTGGTCTAAGGAACGATGGTTTTTGATCATTCTTTTCAACCCCAGAGGAGGTAGAAGACAGTTGGATCCTGCCTTTGCTCTGTGCTTCCCAGCAGCAGGACTCTCTGGCATCCTTGTCTTCAGTCTGTCCCTACCACCCACAACTTCTGAGCCACAAGTCAAAACCACCTCTGCCATGTAGCTTTTGTCCAAACAGTTGTCCACATCAAAAGGAACTTCTCTCTCGAGTTTTCAAAGTTCTTGGCATTAGTTATATGCCAAGGTGTATGTATAATGCTGTGTTTTCTTGCCTCTCTTTACTGCATCATGATGGACATCTCTGACCTATCCAATAGGTACATAAATGCATAAGTAAGCATGTTCTGGTGAAAATGAGCAAAATAATCATTCTTTCTCTACTACTAGATTCTTACCCTCTCAGCCCAATCACATTCCGACCCCCCTCCAAATGTCCAAATTAGGGGTAAATTTGAGGTAGAAGTAGGAAGGTACAATTTATCTTGACCTTTAATATCTTCCTGAGACATCCTGACCTGGCACACTTCAGTTCATGCAGAGGCAGGTACTTCTTACAACTTGAAGCTTTGAATACTATCTCATTCTTGTTGTTTCAAATCCATAAACTAATTGATAGCTAGATAGACACTGAGTTTTTTCTTCACAATAGTTTTATAAATGAAAGCTTAAGTGAAATGTTATACTGGTGTTGTGGAGGAAACAAATTTGATTCTGAATTACTAATCTACTTTGTCTGGGTTATCCCTTACATTCGGTAGAACATGTTCATTCAGTTTGCTTTCAGTGACATCACTGGTCAGCTAAGCAGCTCAATTATAAGAGGCTGGAGCTATATCAAATTGGTGAACTAATTTGAATTTTTGGTTCTACCTCAGAATGTAGAACCAGTTTGAGACTGACTCTCCAGTAGACAAGGCATTGACTACCTAGCATTTTTTGTTTTTTAGTTTATTTGTTTTGGCAACCATGTATACATCTTGTTCCCCAAGAACCCTTTCTCAAGTATTGCATAGTCCCCATACCACAGGTTTGCTTTTTCCTTCCTTCTTCTCCTACAAAATGTCAGGCTCATCCAATGTGCTCTCAAAAGGGAAATAGTCAGTTATCCTAGATTTCTAGAAAAACCTCATAGCCCCTGGTTCATCTCTATAATATTAAAAAATGGGGTCACAGTGGCCCAGCCCTGAAAACAGGCTGTGCCATGGAAGGGTCTCCCTTGACCATTGGTCTATTGCTTTATAGCTGAGCAGTCAAGGTACCAAAGACCTGGGTAGGCTCCCTGAAGCCCAGGCAGATCTCTAGATATGGGTACTGCACTGTCCCCAGACAGAGCCTTCTCTTAGCATCTAAGATAACTGAATTTTCTCCTGAAGCAATCTGAGACTGAAGTTGTCTGCCACCCGGATCAGCATGGCTATAACCAGGGTAAGCTTCATCCTAGCTGTTTCAGCTATGTTAGGTTTCCTAACAATAACAAGGGGATGGGGGGGGCACAGAGGCAGAGACAGAAAGAGAAAGAGAGGCAACTTAGAACTTGTGGGTGTTGTGGAGCTGTGAAAAATAATATCTGTAGGCTGAAGATGCAGCTGGCTATAGAGTGCTAGTCTTGCATGCATGAAGCCCTGAGTGCAATTCCTAGTACTGGGGTGGAGAAAAATTATTTGTGTAAAAACATGACTTGTGGCTGTGGGTGTAGCTCAGTGACAAAGTGCTTACCTAACAAGCCTTGGGTTTGATTCCCCTCTATGCCAATACACCATCGGGCCTGGTAGTGCATGTTTGTAATCCTGGCACTCGAGAGGTGGGAGAAAAAGAGATCAGAACGTCAAGGTTATCATCAGTTATGCAGTGTCTTTGAAGCCAGTCTGGCCTACTTGAGACCCCATCTCTCACAAAAAGAAAATGGGTGGTTGCTGGATGAAAGGAAGAAGGAGGAGGAAAGAAAGAAGAGGACAGCAGTAAGGTGTTTAGTTGCATGGAGCTCAGAACTCCATTTAGCTCACCTTTGTTTTCTTGTGTGTCTTTTCGAAAGAACCTTAGCAGTTTGGAGCAATGAAGATTAAACTGTGGGTAATACAGTGAAAATGGCTGCACCCAAGTCTAGAGATGTGAATGTCAAACCTCGAGAATATGGATTCTATCAGGACAGGTGGCAGGGTACGTGTGTGTGTGTCTCTGTGTGTGTATGTGAGTGTGTGTGTGGTGTGTGTGTACGTGTAATTGTGTAGCAATCCATGCTCTCAGGACTAAGAGACAGACACTCACTTTGTGGGATGCCTTCAAGAGCAATAGACCGGTGGTCTCTGGAGAAGACAACTGAAGGGCTACCAGGAAAGACAGGTCAAATGGAGACCCATACACTGGCCTGTGGAAGAGGCCAAAACTTGCCATGGTTCTCATACTTCTTCCTGTGGCAGCCCCATTTTTGCCCCCTGAGTTGTTCCAAGACAGAGGCCCTCCTCACCCCACTCCCACACCCCCACATAATCAGGTATTGAAGTCCATTAGAAACACTAGTAATTGTTTGTGTAGGAGTAAAAAAGACTGAAGACGATTAAGCCAGTTTGTACTGGTCATCTCCTTTAGCTGGCCCCAACCACATTCAGGACACCCTCCCAGGAAGCGTCTCAGGGCCCATCTGTTGTCTTTTCCTTGGAGCCTACAGAAACTGGCCACCGAGCACCCCGAAGAGTGAGAGAACCCATCCTGGCTGCACACAAGGCAGCCAGGCCACCTTTGGACCTGCAGCCACACTGCTATGAGGCTGATGGGCCAAAGGGCCACATGGCAGGCTGGGGGCGTCTGCCTGTCCTGAAAGAGGGAAAAGTCTGACACTGCAGAGGGTGCAGGAAGTCATGAACAGTGAGAGGTGGCCTAGAGAAGCGTCAGTCCTTCCCATCAGAGGACAGACAGAGCCAAGGAGAAGGCAGGTATGAGGAAGAGCGTGAAAGGTGAGTAAGGACCAGGCCAGGGGCAGAGGAATGGGATGGAAGGGGGCTGTACCGAGGTCGAGAATCAAGAATCGCCTTCTGACAATACAGAAGTGGAGTCTGGGAGGTGCGTCCTGCGAGGGTGGCTGTTGAGAGCACTGGATGAATCAAATAATTCAGCTTGTGGGAGTAGCAATCTCTAGCGCCTAACCAAACGGCAGCCAACCATATTTCCTGGGGACACCAGAGGCGGCAAAGGGCAGGAAGGGTGCGACGGTTTTTCTCTCTACAACCCCTGCGCAAGAGTTCTAATGAAACCAAGAAGCCCAGGCAATGAGGAGCTCCTACCAAAATAATGATTTCCCCCCACCCCTCCTGGTTGTCTGCTATTCCAGAACTCTTGTTGGCTACTGCCCTCGTTCAGCTTTGGGTCCTAGGAAGAGAGGACTTCTGCCCTCCCAAGAGTTCTTAGAGTTTCAGAAGGGGGGGGGGGACGACACTCTCTGCTCAGCGTGAATTCTCCTGGGATCGGTTTCCGGGCTTCCACGCAGGGCCTGCCAAGCCGGTGAGGCGGCCTGCCTGGAGTGTGGCCTGCCGACTCCGGCAGGGCACAGGCAGCCTCAGGCCGCAAACACAACTTTTTGTGAAAGGCGCTGCTGTCCCCCTGAAAGGTGTTATAACAGCAATTCAATTACAGTAAGTGGCACTGCAGCCCCCCCCCCCCCCCCCCCCCCCCGCACAGCTGGTTAGTCGGTACCTAACGGCGCCTGCATCCGGCTAGAGGCAGCCACCTTCTCCCCCTCCCCACCCCCAACCTTTTTCTGATTCCTCCGGTTCAGTCCTCCCACCCCACCCCCCACACACACCACCACCTGATAGCTAAGTCAAAGCGCTTAGTCTGTCTGGACAAAACCCAGTAAGAAATAAGCACGAAGTCCTAAAACCTGGACGTGGAATCAGAAAGGTCTCCTGAAGTTTCCTCATTTTCTTCCTTGCCCCCTAGGGGCAAAGGAACGTTCCTAGTCAGTCGCAGAATCGCATAGGGCTGATCGCGGAAGCTGCCCCGTAGTCACTCAAGTGCTGTCTGTGCCCTTGAACGTTACAGTCTCCTATCAGGAAATGGTCCTCACTGAACCCCAGCCAGCGTGGTCTGCAGGCCCTGAAAGAAGGGCCCAGGTGGCTCCGGCTGTGTTTCCAGGTCTAGGTTCCTGCTGATCACAAACACTCTGAACACTCGCAGGAGTCAAGACTCATGCCTCCCTCCATGAAAAGAGTATCAACAACAACAACAATAACAAAAATGACGCGGGGGGAGGGAGACGGAGGAGGAAGAAACCTGCTCAAGCCAGCCACAGCAAGTGTTTAAGTAAAGGTAAAAATCAGCATTTTTTTTCCTGTGAAGTCAGAGTGAAGGTAGCTTGGAAGAGGATTTTATTTACACAAAATCATACCCACCTACCCACCGACCTACACCCCTCCAAAAAAAAAAAAAAAAAAAAAAGAATAGAAAAGAAAAAAAAAAAGAAAGAGAGAGAGAAAAAAAAAAACAAGAAGAAAGGTGTTGTCTGCAGTGTTTGGTTCCTCAGTACTTTGAAAACATAAATAGATAAAACGGTTTAGGGATTTCCAGATGACCACTCGGGAGTCCCAGTGTGTGGCGGTGGCGGCAGAAGCTTTCCTGTGAAAGGGGTGCTAGAACTTCAGTTGGTTTGGAGTTATTGTCCCCCAACACAGGGCTACCAAGGGTTTCAGTGTTTGCCTTTCAGGAGGGAGGCCAAGGCGCGGCCGTCTAGCCTCAGACCTTTTAGTTCTCCACTTGAGCCGGCTCGGTCCTGCTGTAGACTGCGCCCTTCTCCGGGCAGCCTGCTCATTATTGAGAGGGCCAGCAAGCAGCGTGTGGTCAGGGTCTCTTGATTCGGAGCCACTGGGCAGAGCAAAGCCAAGGCCAAGCTGGAGACTTTGTGGGCCTAATGGGCCCGGAGTGCGCTTGCTGTGCTCAGCCTTCTTTCTTGCCCGAAAGGAAACAAGGGAGCTCAGGTCCGCGCACTACCAGAAGCGTTTGGGCTGCTTTCGGCTTTTGTTCGCTTTAAAAACCCAGCTTCACTGTTTCGTTGCGCTCTCAGAGAAGCCTCTGACCTCCTCTGTGTACGACTCTTCCCTAAGTTCTTGTTTGCTTATTTTACTTATTTATTTATTTATTTGTTTATTTATTTATTCATTCATTCATTTATTTATTCATTCATTTATTTTTAAGAGACAGTGGAACCGTGGGAGAACGTTTACCCTGAGCTGGAAGGTTGTTTTGTTTTGTTTTGTTTTGTTTTGTTTTGTTTTAAATGGTGACCTATTGTCAGAGGTCGCAAGTTGACTGTGATCTGGGGTTGCTGCCCTCGAGGGTTCCTGCCCTGGAGAGCTTGGTTAAGAAGTTGCTCAAGGGACATCCTATGGCAGTCCTTGGCAAGGTTTCAGGGGTCGCATCCCTACCAGGGATGGAAACACTCTTGTTTTGTGAACAAAGCGGGTTACCTACCAGATCACAACATTAAGGTGTTTTGTTGTTGTTGTTAAAGACAGTCAGGCCAGCTCTAAGCCATGTAGGAGTTACATTGTTACATCCAGGACCTCTCCCATTCTGCTTGGAATCTCGGAAGACTCGGAGATTCCACCACAAGTTCAGACTCGGTCCCTTCTTTAGCTGGGAGGGGACCAGTTCCAGGCAGGTCAAGAGCTCCTTTCAAGCTCTTCCCACTCCCTTAAATTCTTGCTTGTGTCCAATTTGTATCTTAAGCGCCTCCAGGAGAAGCCCCTTCAAATTCAGGGGGCAAAACCTTTCTTTCAAAACCCAGCTGGGTGCCTCCATCCTTCCCAGTGGGAAAGAGAGAGACTGGGAGCCCTCTAGGAGCCCCTTCTCAGCACTGTGCACACTGCCCCCTCCATTTGGGACTCCGTTCAAATGTTTTACACTTGAGAGAAGCTCAGGGCTTCTCTCTATCCCCCTACAGTGGTTTCTTGACCAGAAGGTAGCAGCAGCTCCCACAGACATCCGACCTCCGTCTCCTAAATTTCCAGAATAAGAAGTGCCTTTGGTGGGCTCTTGGGTGAGGATTGCCTCCAGGGGCCAAGTTCTCTTTTGCTTTGCACACGGGGCCTGACCAGCCAGTCTGTCAATCAGCCTGTATAGCTGCACACCCAAGCCTTGGCCAGGACAAGATTCGAATCTTCAAAGATTTGAATTTAGAAAACCAATCAGAGCAATTTCTACACTTTTCCTTTTTCCCCCCACCTATATGCATATGTCCATAGTTGAAAAAACACGAGCTCTTTTTTAATTTAGGTCTTCTCTTCCACCATTTTAGGGCTTGAAGTGTGTGTATGTATGTATGTGTGTGTGTGTTTGAGTGTATATTCATGCAATATTGCTCATAGATATGAATATGTATAGAGTTGATAATGTTTATAAATTGTCTAGTATTAGTCTTAGAGTGTAAACTAAATGAAAAATCACCCCAGTGTGTAGAAAGGAGAAGCAAGTCTAAGTATTTAGGAGTTAGTCGTTAATTATTAAATCTAAAACTCTTATGAAATTTCTTTGCTTGATACAAATGAAGCACCGGGATTATGTTGTTGTTGTTCTTTTATTGTTAATACGAACCCAAATTCTCTTTTACTAAAAGAAAGTTCTGAGACTAGGATGCACTTTCTTTTCTGATGACTGTCATCCACAGCATAACAGTCATGTTATGTCAGGATATCTGGGGGTGGGGGGAGAGAGAGAAAGGGAAAGGGAAAGAGAGAAAGAGAAGCCCTACAGCCATGACCATCTTTGCATCAAAATTTTTCAGACCTCTATTTTTGATTGTGATCCTACTGATCTGAGTTTGAAATGCGAGCGCAGTGAAGCCCCTAAGCCTTCAATCCTGTGAAATTTTCAAAAGATCTCTAGAAGCAATCTCAGGCTGCCTGACCCCTGACAGGCACCGATCTCTTTATTCCTCGGGCTGCCAGCACTTCATTTGTTGGAATATCTTTCAGATTTGCACCTCCAGATGACAAACCTGAGTGTTTATTATGTGAACATGAATCGGAAATCTCCAAGCCCGTACAAAAGCACCATCTTAAACAAAATATTTAATTTCTCAGCCTAAGTGCCAGCTTCTTTATTTGCTTTTCATTAGCTTAAATATTTTTTTCAGGTCTCTCCGAGTGTCACTTTGATATTTAGATGATTCTCTTTTTTAATCATTATTTTCCCCTTGGGGGGGGAAGTCTTCTGTCTCCGGTGTCTGCAAGTGCTCATATAACATCACAGTGCTGCATTTAGCCAGGGCTCACTGCCTGACGTCTAACACTGAAAAAGGGGACTCATCTCCGAAAAGGGTGGGGGCAAGTTCCACACCAGAAAAAAAAAAAAAAAAACAATGTTCGGTTTTTGTTTTGTTTTAAACCAGCAGTCAGGGCTGGCTATGGATCAATGATGACCCCTCCATTTCATTTCACTTTTATTTTTCTCCTGGCCTTTGAGATTCCTTTTATTATTATTTAAAAAACAAAACAAGACCTCAGAGAAAGTGCAGGGAAAAACCTTCCTCATTTCGAGCATGCCTAGCTTGGAGCTGGTGTCTCCGTGAGTGTGTCGAGTTTTAAATGCCTGTCTTGATCAGTGACTCCTGTCCTGGGCATTCATTCCCGTCTTGCCACTCTGGGGCTAGAGGGGCACTAGAGGGAAAGGAGATGGGCATATTTCCTCAACTGCTGTATTTAAATGACCTCTGCCAAATAAATATTCCCCCCCACAAGACACTGAGGTGGAGACACTGGCCACCCTTGCCCTAGTTTCAGCCTCTGACAGGAAGTTTTGGAGCCCAACAGGTCGCTCTGGTGAATTGAGTTGAGCCAGGGAGGCAAGGCTGCATCCGAGAGGATCCTGGGGATGAATCACCAATATGAAGCAGTCCCAGGTCCAGAGAAGGTGGGTTGACACGGCCTCTACGTGTTTGGATGCCTTGTTGCTATGATTAACTTATTAAACCCCCTCGTAATTATTTTAATTTGACTGGAAAAATACTTTGGGCAGAGATAGGACGTGTTTGTATTTATCTTCCCCCACACCATACACACCCATAAAACCTGTGTTAAAACAAATGTTACTTTCTTCTCTCTGTACATGGGCCCTCCCTTTTTGAAATAGACCAGAGGAACTGCCATTAGATCGAATGGCAAGTCTTTATGGAAAGTGTTTTGCATAATTACATACCAAAGCCAGAACAGTCACCTCCACATTTTATGGGTCACAAACCATCAACAATTGCCACATTATTGTCCACGAAACCTTGGTCCCTTCCTTGACGGAGCAGACTCCACTGCCTAATCTAGAACGGGAGAGGATGGAAATCTCTTCAAATAAGAACCCAAGAAGATTATGTCCTCAGTGACGCCGTGTTTACATATAGTTATAAAGTTCAGAGAACCGGTGGGGAGAGGAAAGGAAATCGGACTAGGCCTGATTAAGAACACGCACCCGTGTAATGTAGATAGCGCATCAAAAGAGGAGGCTGAATACCTCTCCCCTTTCAGTTTCGACCCCTTTTCTACCTTTGTGATGCTGTAATTAAGATATTCTTATTTAGACAGACAGCTTCTCTGGTAACTGAATAATATTAGCCCCTTTGATGTCAAACTTTTGACAGTTATCACACCAGCACCGGGCAATTTAGCGCAAATACCCTCCTTTATAAAAAAAAAAAAAATAGAAAACCTCCAACGTCTTTGAAGAAGTCTAATAAGTGTGATCCTTATCACCAAATGATTTAAATCTCCCCGACAGGACGCCCAGCTATGAATTACATTCGGTTATACATAATAAAGCCGAATTTGGGTTTTAGTTCATTGATGCGATGCTGAAGGGCAGAAGAACCCCAACTACATCTCTCTAAGTAGTTGCTCAGAGGAGGAGAAAGCACCTAAGATTTACCAGGCCAGGGCAGAGATGCTGCGGAGATGGGGGCTACTGAGGACAGAACGAAGCGCCTCTTCCCCAGCGCGGGGAGTGGGGCAGGACCAGACACCCACTCTCGGGATGAGATGTCTCTGTTGCTTTCCTTGCTTGATCGCCAAATTTGGGATTTGCCAGATGGCGGGATTATCTTCGCGTCTGTTATACTGTGTGTGTGTGTGTGTGTGTGTGTGTGTGTGTGTGTGTGTGTGTGTGTGGAGAGAGAGAGAGAGAGAGAGAGAGAGAGAGAGAGAGAATGGAAAGTGAAGACAGCGAAGTCCAGAGACTGCGCTGGCTCCTTTAAAATGCTCGCTTGTACTCCTTTTACCCGCTCAGGGGCCCTGTCACCGCCTGGACCCGAGCCTTTGACATCTCGGATTGGCCTCGCTGCAGGCACAAATAACACCAGCGCCATCCTGGTCTCTCGGCGTCAGCTCCCTGCCTGAGTCTCAGGACCTGAAGCCCAGTGCCCAAATGCGAAGAGCAACGAGTTGGGGGGTGGGGTATGAGCAAGACTCCTGGAAAGAAGAGTGGGAGGGTAGGAGAGTCATTACGCGGAGGAGGAAAGAGGGAGGGTTAGGATGGGAGGAACTAGGACGGTGACACCTGGTAGGCATTGTCCCTGCAAGAGACACCTGTCAATCTCCGCTCAGGGGTCCTGGGGCCAGCGGCGGAGAGACTGCGGTTCTCTTTGGTGATGTCATCTTGGAGTCTCTTCCCTAAGGAGGGTGAGAATGGCTCCGAGGGCGCTGAGCCCAGAGGGCTTAGAGAAACGTGGGGGAAGGAAAAGAGAAAATAAACAGAAGTAGCTCTCCCGGCTGGCAATTTACATGGAAATCAATAATCCAACTTTAATGTTATTTTTTAATCTTGCCTGACCGTCTTGCCTTTTCACTAGGGGAGGAGGGATGGGGTTACGGCAGCCCATCCCTCCAACCCACAACATCGCTGGGGAAGCCTTATTATCTCAGATCCCGATGTAACCGACCCTTTCCCCAGATCCAGCCCCCCTCTTTTTTTTTTTTTTTTTTTTTTTTTTCCTGCGGGATGTTCCAAACGCAGCCTTCAGGCTTGAGGAGGAAACACTTGGGGATGAGTTCTGAAAGTCTTCCGATACTGCACCGGGTGAAGGGGGAGTTAATTAACGCCAGGCTTGCTCGGCGAGTGGGAGAGGGGCCCTCGGCGTGGGTGGGCGGGCCAGGTCGAACGCAGAGGTGCGTGCAGTGCGGGAGGCGCGGGATCTGGAAGCCCGAGCTTGCAGGCCTTGGCTGGCAGGAGGTGAACGGAGGTGGCTCGGGCGGGAGACGCTGAGATGCCCCCAAGGAATCCCCACGGTTAATCTGGGGAATTCTGATCTCCCACCTACTGAGCCCCCACTCCCAACCCACCGTGCGCTACATTCTTTTCGGCCGGAGCTAATTAGCAGCCTGCCAGCGGCCTGATTTATGGAAACGCTCGGGCGGGTGGAGACGCACCGCTCGCGGAGCTCAGGCTGCCTCCGGGAGGAGCGGAGGAGGAGTCTTCACCGACCTCCTCCGACGAATTCCCCTCCTCCCTGCCGGGGGAAAAAAAAAATGGAAGTTGCTGTTTCACTGGTTCGACCTGGCTGGTCCAGGGGTCTACCCTCGCCCTAGCTACCTTAACCTGGAGCGCGGGGATGTCTAGGTTCCCGTGAGGAAGGCGGGGACTCTAAGTACCGCAGTAGTTGAAGTTGCAAGGGTTGAGACCACTAGGTTCCAGCTCCAGCTGACCCACAGGGTCAGCTAGAACCAGAGCCTTCCAGGCCCGAGTTGAATCTCCGTCAGGGGTCCCGAATGAAGGGACAGCGGGTTTGAAGGTGCCGCCGGAGGCGCCGCAGGGCCAAATCACATCTCCAGGCAGGAAGAAGAGATGGGAGACCCCGCCCGCAGCAGAGGGACAGACCCCCAAACTCAAGTGTCTTTGTCTTGATCCTAGGGACGGGCCGCGGTCTTTTCCACTTTCTAGTTGTTTCTTTATGGTGTCGCTCCCCTCCCCCCGTCCCCCAGTGACATCCTCTATTCGGTCCAAGCGAGCGCCCAGGGAAGGGCCATTACTAGAAGCCCTTAGCCAAAAGCTTACGCAAAGAACCAGCGCAATCTGATAGTTGCCTTCCCAAGCTGTTGTGGATGACCCAGGAGGAAAGGGGCAAGTTGTTCCCCCCTTTTCCCGTGGACTTTAGTAATAAGGGTGGAGAGGAAAGGATCAGCGAAGGGCAGAGACGATTCTCAGCATGGACCTGTTGCTGACGCTTAAGCAACCGTTCTGCTCTTCAGGACGACACTGGTTACCAGTGATTCTCCAAGATGCACCGGGACGGATGCAACCGTGAGAACATCTGTGCCCCCTGGAAGCGTTTGGAGGGGGAAAGACAAGCAGAACCAGAGGCCAGAGGCTTGGACAGCCTCAGTGTTGGGCTCCGGGTTCACTAGAAACTGAGCAGCACTGGTGGGAAGCGCGGAGAGAGCAGAAGTCCCTGGCAAGAAGACATTCCCTGACCCTTAAGCCCCTTTCTCTCTCAACACCCATCCCGACACCCCAGGCCTTGAGGTGGCTGAACTGGAAGTTGTGGAGAACCGACATCTCTAAGAGCTCGTGTAAACTATATGTTAAAACACCCCATCGGTTTGCCTAGTTCAGAAGTTTTGATCTCCTGCCTGTTTCAAGAGCAGAATCATCAACCTTCACCTCTCTCCTCAAAACCGCATCATCTCCTACCTGTGGGCCCTCAGTTCCCTTTTTCTTTTTCTTGTGAGGACCAGTCAGATACACACACACACACACACACACACACGCACACGCACACGCACACGGGGCGGGGGGAGGGGAAAGAAGACAGAGACACAGAGAAAGAAAGCAGAAAAAAAAAATAATTCCAAATGGAAACATTCAAGGAGTCTTCCAAACCCCTGGCAGACTGTTAAAACTGAGCCCGATCTTTCCTCTATAATGTGGCATCCAGTCCCTTGATTGAGGATGACCTCTCTGAATTGCCCACTGTCCTAAGTAAGGCCTGTCATCTGCCTGGCCTGGACAATAGCCCAAATCCACCACTGGTGAGATGCAGGCTCACCAACATGTCCCCTTTGGATGTTCTGGTGTTTTGATCCCCTATTCCCAACCCCAACCCCATTGCCATTATCCAGGCCAAAGCCTCACTGAGTCAGGTTGCTGACAGGCCACCTTCAGCACAGCAAATGCTGGAGGTTAGGTGCCCAAATAACATTCCCCATTTGTCTTTTTCAAAGTTGATTTATAGCAATCGACAGGTTAAAGGCTCATCTGACATCATTATTTTTAAAAGCTGTCTATTTCACAACTGTCACCTTTCATCACTTAGCACAAATAAATACTTGAAGAAGTGAATTGGAAGAGACTTTCAGATCATGTTTATAATTCTTGGTCGTCCGTTAACATTCCTAATGACCTGACCCTCGGAGTTTCTGTAGAATCCTAAATTGGGTTAAAAATCCCGCCATTTCGGCATTAAAACTTGAAGGGAAGTGGGTGGAATGGGGACCAAAAGAAGCACAGCCAGGCTAAGCTACAAGTTTGCAACCGGGTGATTAGAAGGAAAGGTTTCCTGGCACCCTGAAAGGTACAGACCATTTATGAAGGTCATTGAAGAAGGGGTACCTCCTGAGTCAGTGGACACAGTAGCCCAGAAGTTGAAGAAAGGGCTTCAGACCAAGAGCACAAATTCTGCATGATTGCTGGTCCTCTGAGCCCTGCTGCAAAACCACAGTAACATTCCCATAATACCGAAGTGCTGCTCAGAGGGATTGCTGCCACTTTAATTTCTATCGTCATTCCCAACGGGTCTAAGTGAGTAAGGGGCATTTCCTCTCCCGCGTCTTTAACTTAGAGTTTATGAGCCTGAGCCCGGGGAATGTAGAAACGATGTGGAAACGAACCCGCTTGGATTGAAATCCATGCAATAAATCGAAATCAGTTCTGCAACTTTGTGGCTATTTTTTGGTGTTCAGACTCTCTCTCTCTCTCTCTCTCTCTCTCTCTCTCTCTCACACACACACACACCATCTCTCTCTCCCTCCCTTTTTCTCCTCAGCAACTGGGTGCAAAAACGGGCGAAAGAAGAAGGGATAAAAGAAAATTTACAGAGAAAAGAAGGGAAGAAACAGGAATAAAGGGGGAAAAGAAAAAGAAAAACCAGAAACAAAATGAGGTGCATTCAGATCTCCCTCCCCACTTCTTATTTCTTCTCCTTTTCTTCTTTCTTGTTTGTTCTTCTTTTGACGGAGTGGGGGTGGGGGTGCCAGCCCTAGAGCTGGGTGTGGATGGGGAGGAAACCCTCCGCAGTTGGCCAGGCCCGAGATCCCTCTGCAGCATGCAGGCTCTGGTCCCACCAAGAGCTGGAACTTTGTAGATTCCAGGAAAGACCCAATGCGAGCCTGCGGGGGAAGGGGGGGGGGGGGCTTGGCGGAGCTGTCCTTCCAGCAGCCACCACCTTGCCCCCAAAAATGACCTCGGATCTTCTCTTAACCTTGTAAGCCACTAGGCATGGGAGGGTCTGAGCACACTTGGGCTCTGTACGAAACGTTTAGAAACTCCAGCCTTTGCTCAGCTCCGCTCAGGGACTGCTGCCTTCCGCAGCGAACTCTACCGAGCCAGTGCTCGGCTTGCGAAACCAGGGCGCGGTGTAGTGCCCTGGAGCGCCACCTCGCTTCGGAAACTGGAATAACGCAGACAAGCCTTCCACTCTTCTGCAGCCTAACCAGTTCCTTCCCTTTTATTAAAATCTCCAAAGAAGCCGAAACGCCCAGGCCTCCTTCTCCACTGGTGGAAAAAAAAAAAAATCATCTGTGACACACAAAGCTCAAAGTATCTGCACAATGAAAGAAAAATACAGAAGCCTAATTTCCCTAAACAAAGGTAGTCACCTAAGCTGCAAAGCTGCTTTCAGAGAAAAGATAAAATGAATGAGGCACGTTGTCAGGAGGCCGCCAGTTCGGGCTGCGGTGTGCTTTGAGTCACTCAGCTGTGGCCAATGCCAGTGTCTCCTGTGAAGCAGGTGCCTGGGAAGTTATAACCTCCCAGTTAGGATTTCCACAGAAACCCATTCATTCTAACCCCTGGGGTATCGCAGAAGCTTTTCCAGGACAGTGGCTGGCCCACTGGAGCCTGGTTCCTCTCCGTTTTCAGCCTTGCTGTAAAAACAATCACCAAAGGAAGTCTTCAGCATGTCTGCCTTTGACCAACGAAAGTAGCAACTGCCAGAAATTATGAATTACACAACATTATTTTCTGCCAATGGCTATTTGCCCTTGTTTTAGCCAGTTGGTCGGTTAAGATGTTTATCTACCCTTAAATATATCCACTGGGGCTGGATTATAAAATATAGAGAAAATTAACTCGCTGATGCGCTATGGTGAGTCTTTGTTTCCTTTTCTTTTCGCCCCAGAGCCAAGTGTGATCAGAAACAATACACTTTCCACTTTGGACATAGTTTTGAATGTGTGGCATCTTTCTTATGGCCCAGTGAAGAGCTGCGTGGTTTATTTGTTTTGAAGAGGACATGGAAGTTCCATCTAATATAGTTTTTACTTATGTGTTTATCTCTCTAAGTCTCTCTTTCTACATCTCTCTAAGTCTCTCTTTCTCTCTCTCTCTCTCTCTCTCTCTCTCTCTCTCTCTGTGTGTGTGTGTGTGTGTGTGTGTGTGTGTTAGGGTGTCCAGTACATAAGCCAGGTAAAAGATGGCTACCCCGGGGACTGTGGGTGGAGGGAGAAAATCAGGGAAGAGTGGTGGTACATTAGTCCTTATTTTTTTCCTGCCTGAGCAAGCCAAATTTTGCCCTTTCGGAAACTTTGCACTTCTTGGGGTTGGTAGGGTGATCCCTGGGCAAGCCAGGCAGGAGATGAAATGAGCTCTCTCTCTCTTTGCAACCCGAGCTCCGTGAGGCAGATTAGGAGGCTCTCAGGGCTCCAGCTCAGAAATTATAGGGCTGTACTAGGAAAATAGCCAGTTTAGCTTTCTGGCTGGCTTGTCCCCTTTCCGCTAGGTTAAAACAAGTTCCTGAGAGACCCATACAGGAGACAGAAGCCTGAGATTCCTAGCAGGACTTAAGGAGCATCCCTCCTCCATAGGCCAGCTACACAGAGGTGGCCAGGCTCTTGGGAGCTCCTAGGCTTTGGGGTGAGAATGTTAACTTGTGAAGAAGATGGTTGCTGGCAGAAGCTGGAACTAAGTGACAATTCCGGAGAAGTCCCTGCCATCCACTGCGGAGCGGCAATGAGGAGCAGAGACAAAAACAGAAGGAAGTTCAGAGAAGGATGCACTCTGAGCTGCAGGCCTCCAATTCGAAGGAGGCTCTAAATCGGAAACTTTTACTTTTCTCTCTTTCCCTTTTTCCTTTCTCTTCCACCCCCCCTTTCACGTTCACATTTTCTTCGATCACCCCCACACTCTCTCTCTCACACACACAAATAAAGCCTGAGGATTAAAAAAAGAAAATGATTTTCTTGCTATTACACTTCCCACCGCAAGATGCGGTACAAGAGTTAGTGTTTCAGCTAAACCACAATGTTTCATCAATGCAAAACATGCAGCCAGAGGGTGTTGCTAATGACTCCTGGATGAGCGTGATCCTGCGACTGGGAGAAAAAGGAAAGAACAGAGGAGACAGAACACGGAGGAGAGGAACAATTTTCATTAGAGAACCGAGGTGGGGGGCAAATCACCATGTAATCAGGCCTAACAATCTTACACCCTCTTAAAGATTGCAAGGTTTTCTCTGCTTAAGTGAGCTAGAGAGAAGCCAGTATCCTCTTAACCACCACTTTTTTTTTGGGGGGGGGGGGGCACAGGAATAACAGTTATGTTTACAGTTACCAGAAGAACTCTCCTTTGGGAAGGATCAAACATTAGAAATGGATGGCTACTCCAGGACTCAGGCCCTTTGAAGCTGTGGGGGCCTGGTCACCAATTACCCTATGCAACGCAGGGAAGCCAAAGAAACTCAAGGCTCACACCTCTATTAGGGCACACAAATGGACAAACTCCTGTGAAGTAGTGGCGGGGGCAGGAGGGACCGAGGACGACCCATCCAGGCTGCTATGGAGCAGCCCCCAGATGGAGCAACCAGCGACTGCCTGGCCCGCTACATCTTAGTGAAATGGCCCTCCGGGCTCGGAACTCCCCTGTGCCCTCCCCTGGGACCAGCTATTCGGGGGGGGGGGGTGCATGAGGTTTTGAGGTTCCTACCGTGGCCCAGGCTGGTCCCACCGCCCTGCAGTCTGCTTCTGCACCCCGGGGCACACAAGGAAGCATCCCCTCAGGGCTGTGGCCCTTTGAACCAGGGAGCCCTTGGTTCCCTCTCGGACGCGCGGAGCTCGCTGGAGGCCCGGCAGCGGAGCAGAGTGTGGGTGGCGGGTGGGGTTGAAGGGGAGTGGGGGAGGCGGGAGGGGACAGAGGGGAGGAGGCGGGAGCGGGGCGCTAAGCCTGGAAGCTTGGCTGTTTACCCAAACGATTTTCTTTTCAGGCCGGAGACACCAATGAGACAAGATCAAACTGCCCTCCAAGCATTGCCTGTGGGGCGTGAGTGTGTGTGAGTATGTGTGTGTGTGTGTGTGTGTGTGTGTGTGTGTGTGTGTGTGTGTGT